AAAAAAAAAATTCTGGTAAGATATTGATTGGTATTGCTGTGTATCTAGCGTATCTTTGATGTATTAGTTTAGAAGATAACTACACTCTCATTTGAAGGGTGCATAGGAAACAGCTTCAGATTAAACTATTTACAACTGCTAACTTTTGCGTATGGTATTCGTTTTATGTTATAAATCTCCACTCTGCACGGGAATCACCTGGAATTCATTCCAGTTGGGTGATCTTCAAAGACATCCTCAGTTCATTAGAACACTAAATATGTCTGACTTCCAGTCTCTGCTGGAGTTTTTATTTTATTTTGAATTTAAGTGAGCATTTTTCTCAAGGAGTGTAGCAGCCAACTCTTTATTTCTAGTGCTTGAGTATTTCATTTACATGGAATGTGTGGTTTAATTTGTAGGGATGGAAAACTTTACTAATGAATTAAAATATTTCCAGAGAGTGGTCCAATTTATATTAAGGCACAATATATATACATATATTATATAACATTCTATTCTTGCACCACTTACAGCAAAAAATACCTTAGCTAGGAATGAATGACAGCACATAGGTACAAGCATGCTATCATAATATCAAAACCATGTATTCATTATAAAATAGCTTGTATACATATAGTTGTCTCAAATATGCATAATATTGCCATAAAAGGACAACTTTTCCTGTGGAATGCTCATTATAGAGTTTATCTGAAGAGCAACAAAGGAGGGCAGTATTCCAGAGAAATCTGTATTGCTAATCTAATTCTATACTTGCAGTGCTGCATATCTCTTGGGAAATTCTTTCTTTCTTTCTTTAATTCATGTAACTGTGATAACTGGAAATGTGGCTGATTTCATCAATTAATTAAATATTACTAACCTAGGGTTCAAGAGCTCTTCTTTCTAGTTACCTATTGAAGTTTTCCCTCATATTCCATATATATTTATAGCTTATTCCATATATGTATATATAGCTTATTATATATATTATATACTTATATACAGCTTATTCCATATATTGTAATATATACAGAATTATAACATTATAGATATAAT